ACCCCCATAACTAATATACTATTAAGTTGAATTGTCAATATAGTTAGCGCTTTTGGAGAGACTATACACTATTGGAAGAGGCAAAATAATAATATTCGGCTATTATCCCTTATCGTGCCCTTCGTGGCCATATCAATTTACTGTCACGAGAGAATTGAGATCGATTATTTGAATAACAATATTCCTTACTAAGCTAAAGAAAACTTCCAGAGATAATGAGGATACATTTATGTTGAGGAGCAAAGCAAGTAGCCGTTTCAGTATTTGGTCAATGGATGAAGGCAAAGCAGACAAAAACCTGATCGCGGTGGAGGCGGTTGAGTTAGTTGCAGAACCACAAGTTGAAGTACAAAACAAAACATAAATTACTATTTCAAGAATAATAAGTTAATAATAATAAGTTCAATAATAATAAGTCCTAACTGCGAGAAAGATAAGAAAAAGTATTGTTGATGTACAAAAAGTCCCAATTATTGCCTATCTTGTGCTCTTCTAATATTATTAACCACGATTCGCCTTTGTTTCTATAAGAAAATAATTCCAAGTGATCCTAGATGTACTTCAATACTCAGTGTCAGATATTAAAATATAATCGCTCTTAAAACACTTATTTTTCTTGACCTACTTCAGTGGGCGGATGAGGTAAAGGCGGTGGCGGCACTGCAGGCGCTGGATAAACGGGGACCCCCCACAATAGGTATGTGTTTGCCACAGTGTAACAGATGATTGGTAGTTTCATTGATCGTCCCGCGAGCCAGTGACCGGATTGGGTAGCTCAAAGCATTAATAGACGTCACTGCAGTGCCTCTGACCGGAGCGTCCTAGAGTTCGAGTTTCGACGATGGCAAGCTTTTTGACGCTAGCGACATAACTAGGTCGAGTTCAGCAGCTGTCTGGAGAAGAATTCTAGCGGCCGGCTACTCTGATCTACAGTAATTTTCCGGTTTCTTCGATCAGCACCAGGCGAATGTCGGAGCAGGACACTAACAAACGGGTCACATGCGATCATTCCTTCCAATTCCTTATCCTATCCTTATACTCACTCTAATACGTACCACACATGTGGGGAGCTTAGAATTCGTCTTTGCTGAGGCGGTGCTTCTCTAGGCTATCCATCGAATCAGACCCGTACCCCTAATATTTTCGTTAATAATAACCTAGGGAATGGCATAGTATAGCCATGACAAGGTCGCGCCCAAGCGAACTCGCGGGCACTTCCGACAGAGCAACTGACGCGTGATTTAAAAGAAAGGGTTGTACCAAATGCTCTTACGTGGCGGAGCGTCTCTGGTTACCTGGCCCATGGCCGTCTTTCGGCGAAGTCTGAACAGAAGTCAATTAACAGTTCCTGCGCCAAAAGCGATAATAATTAACATATAATTTACCAAAGCAAAGAAACAATCCATTAAAATAAAAAGCGACGCTTATATTTAAAATTGTTAATTGAGAGTGAAATTAAACATTTTGAATAGAAAAGATCATGGCTTCGTAATCGCGTGTTTTTTAACTTCCTAATTTCAGGTTAGGAGGCTTGAAAGACAAATAATTTTATCACTTAAAATATCAGTCCTTCCATAAGAGAGCCTTGTAAGTTTTTTTCATTTTTGATGAACGTATTTTGATGAACAAATAACAAAATAAGGTAATTAAATATGATTAAAAACGAAAAAAGGAAAGATTGGGCTATTCAAACATATTTTTGGTCCGTAGCAAAGTTTTTATACATGGCAGAATTTAAAAAGCTAATAGTCTTGAAATAAATGTATTGTAAACATATGAACAAAATTCAAATCTCGGTTGTTTGATAGAAAACTGTCATGCAAAAATGGTTTGTTTAAAGCCACCAATATTGGACTATCAATAGCTTCTTATACAATTTTAATAATAGATTTGGAAATCGTTAGAGATTTTCCACTGCCGCATAGAATTACTAAATGAAAACCTCATGACTCGTTGCGGCCCCTAGACACGCGTAGAGCAGTCGATGGCATTCAGTAGATCCGATGATTCAGTAGATCAGCGTTTCGGCTCTTTCGAAATCTGCGTTACTTAGCTGTTACGTGCTAAGCCTCCGACTTCCATCTTTTTTGCATCCTTCGATTTGAGGGGGTAATGAAGCTACCGCGCGGACAATTAGGTGTAATATTACTATTTTTGACGTATTGTTTTGGTTAATAAGCTTAGATATTAAATATTTCCGGTTTTTGGAATGTTTACACACCTTCCCAGTTCTCCAACAGTTATACTATAACATTAATAATGCAGTTTAAAATAAAATGTTTAACAGTTTACTCAGGGGCGGATCCAGAGATAAATTTTGGGAGAGGAAATTAAAATTGTTTTGGTTGAATGTGTCATTTAACAGATTTTGTAAAATATCGCAGGCTACACTCAGCTTGTGCTGCGATACGATTTTATTCGTTGTAATGATTATCCAAAAATATTTTTCTTGAAGTTGTGACAAGTTAAAATTAATAGAGACTGAAACATTTTAGGGGGAGAGGAGAATTTCCCTCGTTTCCCTCTACGTGGATCCTAGCTTAATTTAATACATTCTTTATTTCTATTCCTCTCTACTATAACTATCATCTTTGCATATTCTTTTCTCTTTCAATAAATTAATAATTTATTTTTTTCATGATGTAGGTGGTCGTTATTGTTTACGTTTTCCAATTGGTTCCCAGCAAAATACTAATTTAGGTTGAAATTCTTCTCGATCTTCTCCAATAGCTTTCCGTTGCCAATCATTTTCCTTTCAACTGTGAATTTAACGTCCAAACTTTTGATCCGTAAGTACTGATACTTTGAGATATCGTTTACAATATTTTAATTTCGGTATATTTATTAGATATTAATTTGAGATATTGAATTAAATGGTAAATTAGATGTGTTGTCTGGTATCGAAATTTAATTTTGATACCACAAGATCATCGTCAGAGCGTAGCGATCATCGCCGTAGCTATCATCCTCAGAGCTAAAATTAGAATTATCGAAATAAAAGTGAATTAATACGTAATTTATAAAACAAAATTAGGTATAAGTTAGTACAAAATATTATATAAAAAATAGAGACATTGTATGCCAGCATAAAATGGCATCTTTCAGGACTGGGCCGAGCTGCCTGAGAGTAGTGGAAGATTCTACACCGGACCGGGTGCAGTTCGCACGTTAATACTGTAGTGCGCTACACAGGAGTACATGCATGCGAAACCATCGGGAGACGGAAACTGGAAGTAGCAAGAACAGTGTGAGAAAGAAAAGCTATCTCTTATTGCTAACACAAACGACACTGCCGTGCCAGACAGCTATTGTCATAGTGACTGTCTCAATAGGAGGACGGCAAAAGTACGCATGCGCGAATAAGGCCCCCGGCTCCTGCAACGATCTCTAGCACTGAACTGTTTCACGACTGTCGACTCATTAGAGACAACGAGGCGTTTGAGGAAGACGAAACCTAAGGAGAAACTAATCAGCAGAAAACGATTACTTGTTACGATGTGAATCGTCATAAAATCGCTCTAGGGTGGTTGGAAAAACTGCTTGTAACGAAAACACGTTATACTAAAATCACTTATATCTTTTCAATCATAATAATTGCGCGGATTACGTCAACGCTTTTGTAGATTTACAAGGGAAATATTCAATCACGTATGTTTCGTGTGCAGTTGGTCTCACTAATCTCTTCTACAGGATTTAATCGGATATACGAGTATATTTCGCTTCGCGATTATATAGGCGATTATACAGGTGGTTTTAGAGGCGTAGTGAGGTGATGTGGGTTTGTAAATCCAAGCAGGGCCGAGAGAACTGACAATGCTGTAATAGAAATAATAAAGGCAAATTAAGTAGGCGCGCAAGAGTTGTAATGTTGAAAAGTTTCTACTCGTATTTTTGCAGAAATTAGCTTCAGAAGGTTTTTGCTATAAGAAGCGTTGAGAGAAACTTTAACATTTGAAAAGAACGTGAATCAACAATACTATCTTGATTACACAATGAAGTATACATTTATCACACTCCACTAATTTGAATATTGCAGTGTCAAAAGTTCCGTAGTATGTCAACGCATAAATAAATTCTGCTTATATACACATGCATTTCACAATCTTGATACATTGAAGTCTATAATATGAGAATACTGTAGAGAAAGAGCGGGGTGTAGCGTGGTCTGGGGAATGACTGCAGATCTTCCGGAACTCTAGAGACATCCTGCGAGCTCCCGGAGCGAGAGAGGCGCCATCACCACGGAGTGCGAACCGCCAGGGTGTACTGAATGATGTCACGTCGGGCACGTCAACTGCTATGGTCATTAGTACCACCAGTGAACTTTTATCCCGAATAACTGTTTTATTCCGAGAGGTGGAAATGTTTTCCCGCGCTAGACGGTGAGATCCGGCGACGAACTGCTCGTCAGCCTGCGGGGAATTTCTTCGCTTGTCTCCACCAGCGGGGCACCGCTCCCAGTCAGGACACTTGTATGTTTCCGGCTGAACTCCCGAACGCGTGTAGTGCATGTAAGTGGGTGTTTCAACAGTATTGCTAGTGAGTAATGGTAGTGAAAAGGAAGGAAAGATCGCGCGCGATATATGACTCGTTTGTAGGGTGATGTTCCGGAATTCGCCTGAAAATGATAGAAAAAAACACGGAATCGATCAGAGCAGTCGAGCGCTGGAATTTTTCTCGAGACAGCGGCTAAGTTTGGCCTATCTACTTTGTTAGCATGGAAAATCTTCCACTGTCGGCACTCGAACTACAGGACCTCCAGGTCAGATTCACTGCAGAGATAACTCTACAACCGCCAGGTGTGAAGCAAAATTGCACGAAAAATAAAAAATTGTACAGAGCAGCTGCCTATTTAGATGCACATGTGTGGTGTTAATACGTGAATAAAATAATCTGGTACAGTGGTTCCACATAGTTACAGAGATCCTGTTACAAAAATATGTTGTTTGCAGACCGAACCTGAGAACACGCACACGTTCCTCTCAATGTATCAAACTCACCCCGCGGGCAGGATCGCGGAATCGGTCTTCTGTTGCGCTGTCACACATTAAGCCCTGGGGGCGAATTCAAATCTCCAGCCCGGCTCCCCAGACTTCTGGTGTAACCCACGCTGTCAGTGCCAAGGTGAGTTCGGCGCGGGGAAGGATTTGGGGCTGCGAGCCACTCGGGTGTAACATACGTCTCCCCTCTTAGCTTCGTCGCGGCTTGGCCGGATACCCACACTCACGTGGGGAGACATTCCAGAGGTGCGTTGCGTTCCGGTGTATCCTTAGGCTAGCCTGACAGTGCATTAGTGCGGACGAAAGGAATTGATTGATTAATTGATTAGTGAATCCGGGCAAGACAACTTTGAAGATCATTAGTCCCGTAAGTGTAGAGCATGTTTTTTCCCTCCGCAGATGGCGGTAATATTCTCCCGCTAGAAAATGAGATCCGCCGCACCATTGCCCGGCGCGATTTATCCCAACCGGGTATTTCCCACCAGCGGGGCACCGTCCCAGCCGGGTCAAGCTCTAAGAACTCGACCGGTCTTTCGGCATGCGTGGTAATGTAGTGCACTGATTGAATGTGTGTATAATCAAGGGGTGAGGTAAGGCAAGGAACAGAATGGAAAGATCGCGCCCGGCCTTGGTCCGTTTGTTAGGGTTCTGTTTCGACAATCGCCTGGTGATGATCGAAGAAATCACGGAAAACTACCGATCAGAGCCGACTGGTCGCTACAATTCTCCTCCAGACAACGACTGAATTCGACCTAGTTATAAAATTAATGTCGAAAATTCCGCCATAATCGGAACTCGAACCTACTAGGTCGTCTCAGTCAGAAGCGCTACAGTGGCATGAAGTGATATCCTGAGCCACCTCCCTCGGTCAAACCTGAGAGAGCGAGGATGTTTTCAAAGGCGGTTACCCGCTTTTAGATAGTGTAATTCCCTGTGGTATAGAGCTACGTAGAATTGGGCGACTCGCCACCCAGCACATATCCAGCATGGAGGTACCGAACGCAAGTATCTAGCGAAAACCATATCGCTGCTGGTGTAACCGCGTATTGTAGGCGTAGAAATTGCAATGTTCATTTTGTTGTACTCTGTGAGCGTGGAGTCGTGCAGTAATGATATCTTACTACAGGTAGTAACACTAAAATAACATAAAAATATAAGAATGATGGGCACGTGTTTCAAGTCTTCTAATATGAATACCGGCCAAGAATAGAGAAAGAGACGATAGGATCAGCATCTTTATGTCCTGTAACCGCACGCCAAGGTAAACGTACGTTGATCGATCATATGACGAACTTCATTCCTAGGTGGAGGTTCACGGTCATCAGCGTCAGCGATGACCTGCTCATGGACGCTCAATGCGTGTGACAACCTGTTGCATTTTTTCGACATGCAGCAACGCGGTTAACTGCAGCACCCTACATCGATGCCCGTTGTTGTTTTCCGACATGTCGAAGACCGTTGACAAAAGAGAAATTTGATTGTCACGGCCCTAACTCGTTAGGCAATGCAGCTACATTTCATCTTACATCTTCATATTGTCACTGAATCCTCCTAAATTGCCCTCCAACGACGACGACGACGACGACGTCTATCCATAGACCGCTGAGAGGTAGCCAGCTGCTGTACACCCGATTGGTCTGTGGCGTACCCATGTTCTGTTTTGGGGTTTCCTACGCTACCGTAGCTCTTTCATTTGATCTGCACCAAACTCTGCGTCTTACCTCCCCTCTGTTCTGGAAAAGTTATCTAAAAGTTGATTTGGTAGGAGAGTGTCGTAGGCAGATGTTTCAGAATACATGTTACAAACTTCTGGGGCATGTGGAGGGGGCAAAAATGACCACATTTTTAGCAATAAACTTATAGTAGGAAATTTCATTTATTAGCTTTATTTACCCCTCTTTGTTAGGCAAACCCACACCCAGTAAAGTACGACAGGTTCATGAAATATCTTTGGCTGCACATGAACGTGACTTCACGAACACATGTGCACGTGGAGTTACTCAACATAAGGGCCAAATGTTACATGTGCAACTTCGTCATGCAATTTTCAACTACATGCATATTGTCAATAAGCGATATTTTCGATCCCTGTACCCTCCATCAATTCGGATGGATTGATTGATTGTTACGTTAACTACTACGGTCCTTAGTCTCATAAGTGTGGTGCATGATTATGTTCGGGAGGTGGAGGTAGTCTTTTCTCTCGCTGCATGGCGAGATCTGGTGCCGATCGACCATCGGTTAGCGGGGTTTTCCCTTAACAGGCATCGCCCACCAGGGGGCACCGCCTCAGCCGGGACAAACTCTAAGAGACCGCCTGTCCCACGGCATGTGTTGTAGTGTAGTGCTTGTTACTGTGTGTGTAAGTAAGGGGTGAGGATAAGACAAAGAAGAGAAAGGAAATATCTCGCGCAGTCCGTGGCCCGTTTGTTAGGGTACTACTCCGTCGTCTGCCTGGTGTTGATCGGAAAACCCACGGCAAACTATCATTCCGAGCAGCCGGCCGCAAGAATTCTCCTTTAGATAGCGACTGAATTCCACCTAGCTGACAAGCAAGTATCGAAAATCCTGCCGTCGTCGGGACTCGCACCATCTGTCGGCATTTCTTCGGAGACATCCTGTAGTAGCACGCATAGTGCGCGTGTTGAGAGTGAGAGTGAGGAATGTGTGTGTGTGTGTGTGGGGGGGCTTCATGCGAGGGCGGGCGGAATCGCCGGGGAGGAGGGGCGCCGACCACATGTGGGCCGCGCCACGCGCCCGCATCCGCCGGTCGAACGGGGCGGGAGCGGCGGGGCGGGCGGTGGGCGGCGGGGGCGGCGGGGCGGCGGGGGGCGGCGGGGGCGGCGGGGGGCGGGCGGGGGCGCGGGGGGCGCCGGCGGCGACGCCATCTTCGGCGAGTGGCGCAGAGGAGCGCAGCCCGGGGGCGAGGGGGCGAGGCGGGGCGGGGTGCGGAGGTCAAGGGGGGGGGCATCCGATGCGCGCGCGCGGCACCGCTGCCGGCTAGAGACCCGGGGCCCGCTCGGGTGCCGGCCCGCCCGCCGGCCGCCGCGCCGCCACCACGCAGCGCCGCGCCGCACCGCACCGCGCCACCGCGCCACCGCTCCACGCCACGCCACGCCACACACGCGGTGCGGGGCCTTCCCGCGGCCTTGTGGTGCCATAGGAAGAGACCAGCGGTAGTGGAGGTGCAGGGGCGATAAATTAAAATAGAATGAATGCGTCGAAATAAAAATGATTATTTTATTCGTTTGTAACGACATTGTTGTACACTTCGTCCCATTATTCACGTAGCAAGTAGTTCAAAAATTGTGTCTTACTTGCATTAAACAATCTTCACATAAGTAAATTATTTATTGAGTAAGCGTACCCAATTATTGTAATAGTAAGAGTTTGAGCATCGTGGCCGCGGTGTCGTAGGGCTGCGGAGAGACCGGCGGCAGAGAGAGTGCCGTGGCAGGAGGCTGGGCGCGAGGCAACGGCGGCGACGGCGGTGGCGGCGCAGGCGGCGCCAGAAGGCGACGATCGATCGGAAGCGGGGGCCGGCAGCCGGAGGCACGAGGGTTCGAATCTCCCCAGCGGGAGGCCAACTGCCTTCTTTCATCTTGGACGGGAGATCATCTCTTGCTGGAAATGGAAACCCAACGAGTAGGGACCTCTCCGATTAGAAACGCTGCCCGTGAGCCGCATTGGTCAGTTAAATTATCAACGAATGAGACATTCAGTCGCATTTAAAAGTTCCCTCCCTGACACACTTTTCGAAACTGTTTTATGAAATTGCTTGCATTTATATCAATTCTGAATTCACAGTGTTTTTCTTCTCGCATTTTTTCACATTTCTCTGCAGAGAGTTTTTCGCAATCACACGGAAAATCTGTATTTCTTAATTCACTGTATATATTTCTCTACATACTAGGTACATATTCACCGTCTCATAATAACTTTGATATTTTCATTTATTAAATAATATATGAAACATAACTTTTTGAAATACGGCCCATAAAAAACGGCAACATTTACACCCACAGCCAAGAAATCTCAAACAGATATAAAATGTAAAGGACAATGGGCTTGTGCGTAAAAATATAAAGAACGTAAAAGTTCTCAGATGGAAGGTATTCTTGAGGAGTAGTAATGATCTACACTCTGAGATCGCCGTAAAAGATATGATCATAACCAATCTATAGCAACAGCAAGAATTTCATGCGAAGATTAGTTGAAAAGTAAAACAACATGATAAATGACTTCAAATGCTTTTGAGAGATCAAAAAATATTCCGAATGCGCTTCATTTTTATCCAGTGAAGCAACATCCTTAAGAATATATGGCTTATCCCATAGATTTTGATTTTCTAAATTCAATTGGCAATTTGAAAAAGTCTCGTACTTATAGAGAAAGTTTTTCCATTCATACGTAAAAAAGGTCTCCAATACTTTTGAAAAAAATAACAATAGTGAAATATGCCGACAATTTTGAATATCATATTTGTGGCCGTTTATGAAGAGCCGTAAAATATTTCCCGGTGTGAAAACATCTGAAAATGTTCCCGTGGATAAGGTTGCATTACACGCGATATATAAGTTTACCGGTTATAATAGCAGATGCACAAGTCTTCCGGACACAAAAACAATCTAACAATCCATTGATCTAAACAGACAGATTATTTAGTACTTAGTTTACGTATTATTTTGACAAATCTCATAGGACAAATTTTCGGAAACGAACATCGTGTGACATTTTTTTGTGAGGTCTGATGTTTAATTTAGTGGCGTGAGACCAACCGCAATTATCGAAAACTATTACAAATCTAAAACTATTAGTTGAATAAACAGGCCATTGTTGCCGGATCATTCACTTCTCCATCAGTATGTGTTAAAACATTTTCTACACGGTTCCTAGTATGTGTGGTCGTACGTTTAACTACATTCCACAATGCTTTTGTTTCTTTACTTGAGTTTAAAACATCCTGATCGTGTTTCATGATTTTAGACTGCCTTATGACTTAACAATGATTTGCATTGTTGGAAAAAGTGGTGGAAATCATGAGATTCGTTATGATGCTTGGAGATGAAATGTAGAATTCGTTTTTTTATACATGAAGTTCTAATCCTTCCTGTAATCCAAGAATTGCTTCTCCGAGAAATGTTTAATTTTAATTTTAAGAAGAACCACTTATTCATGAGAATGAACGGTGGAAAAATATTATTTTTTTCGTTTATATGAACATTGTTGTAAACCGCGTCCCATGCGCCCACGCTTGTGAAACGTGTTTCGTAAGTGATGATAGTGGGGTTGCTGTGCAGCAAACCATTCGACAAAACTTTGGGAGAAATGGTCGATTATCGGAACACAATTCAGAGTTGGGTTGATCGGTTTCGTGCAAACGCTAGTGCCACGAATAAGAAGCCACCGACAAAGCAGAGGCCAGTGCGAACATCAGAAAATATTGAGAGAGTTCGGACTGATATTGACAAGGTCTTAGGCGTTCGGTAAACAAACACGCTCTAGTTTTAGACTTGTTAAAAAGACGTGTGTCCCGCATTCTTCACAGCGATTTCAAGTTATCATCCGTACAAAATGTAGGTGACCCGTAAATTACTCGAACGCGGCTACATCTCCGACAGCAATTCAGTCCTTACCTTGTTGAACTAATTGAAAAATAAATTAGTTTCCTGAATGTTGATATGTGAGTTATAAATATATTTAATATTATGCAGTGTAACTTTATGATCTATGTAATTAAGTATTATTATTGTTATTACTATTATTAATTATGTGCAGTGCAGTGGCGTTGTGAAACTGAGGGAAACGAGTGTGTAAGAAGGAGATGAAAGAAAACAGCTCGGTGTTTCGCACTGCTGTGAAGTGTGGTGAAGTGGAGAGCTATGAAAGATTGCACGGTGAAATGTTCACGTTAATTTGTAAAGTTTGAAGATTTTGTAAAATTGTTAAGTTCTGTAATGTTAAGTTAGTGTTCTGCCACCAAGTTCTCAAACCTAATTGCATAATTATTAATAAATCTAAATTTAATGACCGGGAACATGGACAATCTTCTCATTCTGATTATGTCACATGGTTCACACCTTGAACTGATGTGGTATGTCAACGAACACAACTGCAATACTGGAGTAATGTGAATTCACAGGAACTGTACAAAAAATCACTTTATTGGGCAATGGTCACGATTACGTGCGGTGTTTCTAATTCAAAGACTATTAAACCCTACTTGTCTGAGAATCATCACGGAAATGCAGTCACTTCGGGACGTTACAGGGGTGTACTGGCGAAGTTCCTGATTCCTAATCAACAAAAGACAGTTGTTTCGAAATAAGTGTATTTGTAGAAAGGTGAGACTTCTGCGCATACTGCTAGATGCATGATGGCGACGTTACGTATGGTTTTCTGAGGCAAAATTGTCTGACGATTGGAAACTTACCACGACCGACTCCGTCAGTGCATCACAAGGGAAGGTGGTTATATCAAAGACGTGATTTACAAAAATAAATAAAACATGGATTACTGTGTCACAAAATGGAATTATATTATCACTCTTGTCCATTTTATGTTCCCAATGTAGTGTTACTATAGGACCTACAATAAAATGATAGGTTGTTTCTGTCGGATTCTTCATGTAAAAGTATTTAATATATTGCTAAGTACATGTATTATGAGTTCTTAAATATATACGTTTATTTCAATTATATTGAGATTTATTGTGTAGCGTACCACAAGAACAACTAGCGGATGCACATTGAAGGGAAACTTGGTATTCTTAAGAACTGAGTCTCCTGAGTTCTGAGACGCGTATTTTGGACACGACAAGAAATGAAAGAGAAAAGAAAGAACGCTGGGAGAGCATTGCGCAGGAGCAACATGCACATGCACACACCATTATCATGTACGTTTTTTCTTTGCTCCGTTCCTATCTTCTGCTGAACGCTTCACATTTGCAAGATCTCTCCTTATCGATTCCAGTGTCCCTTGTGACCACGCACGAAAGCCTGCAGCTCTCTATTCTTATTCAACTGCGGGAAGTAAGGCTGAGCATTTTGGCAGGTATTGAATTCTGTTAACTTTTTTGTGCCGCCCTCATACTTTCGAGTCAGCGACTGAATGTTAATTAAGATTCAAATGATCTATTTTTAGCGTGAATCAATGACACGCGGTGTGCAAAATTGCTATAGAATCAATACCTAGGATATTATCAAGGTTAACAATTAATTTTACTCTTTTCCTTCACATTATTAGTAGATAAGTAGAGTGTTTTATATCTGTACAAGCGGCTCTCGATTAGAAGTGCACAAGATTTTGTGACGGTGTCTGTCCGTGCTGCTTTTTCACTCTTTAATTACGTTTCTTAATTAGCATATTGTTCTCTATGAGTTTTTAAAGAATTTCATTCATAAAGAGCATATTCTTCTCTATGATTTTTTAAAGAATTTCATTCATAAAGAGCGTATTAAATATCTTGTCTACTGTATAATATATCCGGGACAGGACCTCTTTTACGATCGCGTTGCACTTCATTCCGCCCATTACGGAAAAGCAGACGTGAGTGGCTTAGATCTCTGAGGAGAACGCGCCTTGGCAGACTCCTCTCGAAAAGGCGCGAGTTTGATTCCCGCCTCGCGAATGAATGTTAGTTTCTGTGCAGTGGCATGGGCGGAGCTTATCCAAACCGCCTTCCTCGCCCTGGGTACAAGTATGCGTGGTGATCGTAAGGGGCTGGTGTCTGCGGACGGGCGAGGCAAGCGCGGTCAGTCAAAGGGTCCACGGACCGTGACGCGCACCGCCGGCCGCTCTGCTGCCGCTGCGGATCACGTGCTATGGACCTGGCGATGTGAAGGAGGAGGAGGCAAGTGCGTTAGTTTTTCGTGGTTTCTCCGATCAATACCAGGCGAATGCAGGTACAGTACCCTAAAAAACGGGCCACATACCGTGCGAGATCTGTCCTCCCTCTTCCTTGTTCTATCTTCACCCCTTACACGCACTTACACTACAATGCACTGCACTACCACACATGCCGGAAGACCGCTCTGGAGCTTAGAGCTCGTCCCGTCCCTCTTGCCGTTAGGCAAGGGCACATAGGGCGCGGGAGACAGTGATTACCTATTTTGTGAAATTTCGAAACACGAGTGTGCCGCTTTTGGATAGAATTTTTGTTATGTCAACCTGCAGCACTACAAAGGTGCGAATTATAATCTTGCAGAACATCCCACACCAAATGCGATCCTAAAATAAAAGAACTTATTATAAAAAAAAGTATTTGGAGTTTACGTCAAACCTCTAATGAAGTGTGATGTTAGTAGTGATGTAATAATAAGGATAATTTATATTTTTTGTCAATGCATAATACATGGCGATGATTTTCTCATTTTTAAACTTAAATATATAATAATTTTTCTTATACGTAGTTTTAGTTTCGTTATTATTTCCAATCGGCTGACAACCCTTGCCCTGGAAACAGACAACTTACTCTTCGTTTATATCTTCAATGTTCCCTCACTGAACATTTATCCCTGTGATTGCTTACAAAAGCTCTCTGTTCTTCACCTCAGCGACTTTTTCAAGCCGATGCCTACACTGTCTCTCTTGGTTGTTTATTTTGTGTCAACGGACGCGTCAGATACTATGGTTATAAGTTTCTGTACGTGCAGTGCACGTTGTAAGCGCGAGGTAGCGATGTTTCTCCATGTGTGGTAGTGTAGTTCATGGATGTTTATCAGTGGGTTGGAGATAAGAGGAGTGGAGAGATTAAGGGTAAAGAAAATGTCACGCGCAGTCCGCGGCCGGATTATTACAGTGCTGAAGCAATTGATTTTTTGATTGATTGATGCTCCGGGCGCGTCAAGTAACAAGGATATTAGTCCCGTAAGAGTAGTGCATGTTTTCTCACGAGAGGTGGTGGCAATCTACTCTCGCTGGATGGTGAGATCTAGCGCCGGCCTACCGTCAGCTGGCGGCGTTTTACCCAACCAGATTCCTCTAACCAGCGAAGCAACGCTCCAGCCGGGACACGCTCTAAGCTCCAGAATGGTCTTTCGGCATGTGTGGTAGTGCAGTGCACTGTAGTGTAAGTGAGTGTAAGGGGTGAAGATAGGACAAGGAAGAGGTAGGAAAGATCTCGCACGGTATGTGGTCCGTTCCTTAGCGTACTTTACCTGTATTCGCCTGGTATTGATCAGAGAAACCACGAAAACTACCGATCAGAGAGGTCGGCCGCTACAACTCCTTTCCAGACTGTGAATGAATTCGACCTAGCTATAAAACTAGTGTCTAAATTCATGCCACCGTTCAGACTCGAACGTAGGATCTCCCGGTCAGAGGCACTGTAGTGACATCAGTTGATGACCTCAGCCACCTCTCTGTATGTTCCCACAATCGATTGGTATCGAGCGTAGATAACACAGAAAACTACGAGTTAGAGCAATCGCTTGCTAGAATTATCCTCCTGATAGTGGCGGAGGACAGTAAATTGACTACTCCCGACTTCGGCTTCTTGCTGTACAGTATAGTATCTCTGTACAGTACAGAATGTTCTGAACTATACCGATACAAAATTGTGTATGTTGTCATAATGTTTTATGAGGAGAACTGATGCAATAGGATTGTTGTAAAAAAAATATAGTTTTAGAGAAACCTTGGTTTCTTTGCCACTTCCGAGCGCGCGTTTTATATCGGCTGTCTCGCCGCCGCACGACCAACTGCTGTTTTTGGACGAGGTCGAGAGACGAGGGGCAAGCCGTCCTTAACCTGGGCGCAACGGCCGTGACAATTACGGAGAAGCATCCAGGTGGGGGCGACTCAATGCACGAACATCGTTGTGCCATAGGCGAGAGCGTGAGGGGGCAGGCTCAAGCTTTGGAATTGGCCCCCGTAGCCTTTCATAATATTACGTTTTATTTTCACAAACAATTTCAACAATCGATTTCCCCTCTATTTAACCTAACATTTTCATAAATAGTAATATATCTGGGAAATAAATAGTAATATATCTGGGAAAAGTCTCTTCAAGACGTCTGATAACCCTATAAATAGTCCAACATTAAATGAGTTATTTATTAATTGTGTCATTAGTTTCTAATTTAATTCCCCTTGTATCATGTATTATTTACTTTTTCACGAGACATAGTAATAAATACCATTTGAAAATAAAAACGTTGCGCGTTTCCATGCGCGCTGGAACGTTTCACCCCCTTCCTGGACCACTCAACACGTCGCAGCTGCAACGTGTGTAACGTAGTCGTCTGTTCCCTGCCTAGCAATGGAGGGCCTTTGATAGAACAAAAAATACCTATAGAACCTAAAATACAACCAGAACGTTCTGAAATTCAAGTAGACTGAATCGAAAGAGTTCTCAAATCCATGAACAGTAGATTGGTTATGGTGTGTTAAAAAATCCACCAGAACTCTTTGAGAGGTCGAGTAGACTGGATCGAAAGGGTAGTCGGATCCATGGGTAATGAATTGATAATTGTAAGGTAAAGTTTCCACCAGAACGCTTTGAGATATGAAGTAGACCAAAATGAAATGGGTGCTGGAGGATACCTGGATGGGGAAACGTTCGCAAGCGACGTGCAGACCGGCGCCGGATCTCACCATTCACACGAACTATGAATGCTTGGATCAATTGGCGGCAGTAAACTGGATGTATCATTTGCCTATGATTTGCGTATGATTCTCCCTGATAAGGATTTTGTTACCACATCTACATATAAAATTAGGAATATAGAAGCAATTTTAAGACACTTCCCAACGATAGCGAATACCACTCGAAATAGGCGCTCGCCTCGCGTCTCCCTTTGTGGATGCTCGAGAGTCTACCTGAAAGTCGGCCTCTGGCGCCGAACATGGGAGTTATGAGACATGATGAAATGACATGGATGAGCTGCTCCGACATACCGACTTTTGCTCGTTCTGCCCGACCCCGAGCACCCGAAACGTCACGAACCACGTGACTACAACACGGGCACTTCGTTTGAAAAGCCAAGCCAGACGCTGGCTGCCATGGTGAATGGCAAGCGAGAAGTGTTGACAAACATTTTGAAAGTGACATAAAGTGTTACGGTGATCAACCAAAAATAAAACGAAGGTGTAACGAAAATAATACACGCTATAATTTAAAAAAAAGCTTAATATATCTATTTCAATGACTTGATATACGGTGACAATGGCGGCGGCGATGGTGTAACGGTCCATCACATGATCAGGCGGAAGAGGCCTAAATGGCCTGAGCCTCGCCATCAATGAAGTCATTTATTTATTCATTTTATTTATCAGGGTTCAAACCCGATCGAAGCCGTGGATTTTTAAGGGCGAAAAAAATCCTTCGTACGCCTTCCTTCGGAGGGGAAGTAAAGCCGGCTGTCCCATGTTCGTAGATTTACATGCATGTAAAAGATCCTCAAGCCTAAATGACGCCTCTGAGCTAAATTCAAATCGCCTGTTTCTCGCCCAAGAAATACCTCCTTTCTCTCCTAGTTGATGAAAGGAGCGTAGCGAAATTTGCGTGGTCAGACGGAAGAGCGGGCCTGATGGCCCGAGTCTCCCCACGTAAAATAAGGCAAATTCAAGTCAATAATTTTGGTATCTGTCTGCAATTAAAATGTCCGCTAATACTGTGCCGCAAACCGGCACATGAAGCGCATCGCCTGAAGCAGCTCGCCCATGTCGTCGCGTGCCGCGCGGCCTCACCTTGTTGGAGCGCAGGGTGACCTTGCCGCCGCAGCGGGCGCAGCAGCGGATGTGGCAGTAGTTGCAGACGTGGCCCACGCCGTCCGCGAACTTGGTCTTGAGGCAGATGTGGCACGTGGCATCCAACTCCACCCCCGCCTTCTTCTGCTGCTCCGATCGCTGGCGGATCGTGTCCTCCAGGACGGCCACTTCGTCCTGCTTCCGCCTGTGCAACACAAAACAATCCGCGACGTTAGTTGCAAGCGAGCGGCTTTCATGGTGCTGTGGTTATCCTGCCTACTAATACCAAGTTTGCGGGGTCAAAGTCGGGAGGGTTGAGTTGTCAAAATTCAACAGCATGCATGAGAACGCTTGTCAGCAGGTAAAAAAGATTCCAGGAAATGCACTTGGCCGATCCTGGCAAAATTAAATTCTCTATTATTAATTGGATTGTTGGTGAGGTAGATACCTTTTTATTATGATAAATAAATAAAGATATTGTCAGGTATCAATATTTTAATTCAGCTTATGATCATTTCGATCGCGTAGCGATCATCCTTTGCAGAACTTTGTTTTCGGCTCAGAAGCTGCAAGCTCTGAGGATGATCGCTACGCGATCGAAATGATCATAAGCTGAATTAAAATATTGATACCTGACAATATCTTTATTTATTTATCTTAAATTCTCTAGCAATTTAGAACCGATGAGAATTTCGATTTGAATTACCGGATAAGATTGCGGATATAGTTTCTGGGCCTCCGCTCTCTGGTATTCAAATGTAAAGTCAAAATTGGCGCACTACCGCCGCAAGGGAAGGCAATGGCAAACTAGGTATACTTGCTGAGGATAAGTCTCCCAAAACGGCGTTTTGGACTTCTGGAGTACATCACACTCACAAATCAGTGTATGGCATTAAAAAAAAGAAGTAACAAGTTCAATCCTAATGAAGAGCAAGAAGTTCAATCCTAATGCAGTTACATTCATAACAGTGGCGTCTTTGGCTTAATGAGTATGTAGACGCGATCCATCACATGATCAGGCGGAAGAGGCCTAAATGGCCTGAGCCTCGCCATCAATGAAGTCATTTATTTATTCATTTTATTTATCAGGGTTTTACGAATTAAATAAAGTAAATCAATTATGATATTTAATGTACATCGTACGATATGTTTATACTCTATTCTATATTGCGATGTTCCTACTCACAGTACATTCTTTGAGAATAGCTAATTTTGCATTGCTTGTTCTCACAATAATACACAAATTTAAATTGAAACGTGAACAATATACTTAACTGTTCAATTAGAAGACTATTTGCCGTTATTTTCTAAGGTACTTTAGAACTAAATAGAGTTTCATAGGCCATTGCGAGTTATCACTCACTATTTTCTGCCTCATGTAACTAGTCCACTTCTACAAACCATGTGCTCGCCATGTCCCATCTTTTCGAACAAACATTGTTAGATTCTAATCATGGTGTTATGGTTTCGAAACTATGATTTTACTTTGTGAAAGTAAATGTTATTTACTATACCGCAGTTTCAAGAAAAAACTCAGCACTTTCTCAACACACAATACGCTTATAGAAATCCATCAACAAAGAACTATTACGAGTCGCGCGCGGTAAAAATTCTTGGTCAGTTCTAATAACCACAGCTAATAACCTAGGTCTTGTAAATCACATTCTGTATCCCTAGCAACACGCTATGGAGACCACAGTCATTTGCACGTTTCCACTGGGATTCCCAGTCCTACTGAAAGAAGAGAAGGTGCTCAAAGGAGGCGATGGCAAAGCTTTGGGAGTGGGATACAGAACCGCCAATGAGAAGTCCGAGATGCAACACTCAGGTCGCATCACCGTCGGCCAAAACCTCGCATCTTGCACACAGCATATGGTGACAGTTCAATGACCTCGGTAACGGAGCAAAGCTGTCGAAAGGATGTATCTCGGCCTGTCACATACACGGAAGTGACAGGCCTACCATGAAGCGCATGGAATAAAACGAAAGGTTCAAACGGAACACAAGGATATTCTTGAATAAAAAATATTAACGAATATATAAAAACGAATGCTGCATGCGTTTTAATTATTTCAAATAAGTATATAATCAAATAATAAGTAATTTCATAAATTTAAAATTTTAGGTACATTTCTTTTATAAGTTAGTATTATTGATTTGGCTAGACATCGCTTGGAATAAGTTAGAAAATTTCGTAATTACTGCGGTGGCCCATTCTCTGGGCCATGGCATGGGGGTTCGTGTTGAAAGCATGAAAGCATCCCTTCACATTAGGGAGTTTTAGCGGCAGGCATATGGGTATAGCCTTAAACTCTATTGATCACGTGACTAACGCCTTTATACGGTCGTAATGAACAACGTTCGGAAGAGTTTTAGCAATTGCGTATTTGCGTTAGCATTATAACAAAGGAAGCATTTCAAACGTTGAACAGAGAAATTGCATAATATATCAAAGAGTGTAGGCTAGTGCTGATATATTTAAAAAAACATTACGAGTCAACAGAACAACAAATATACATTGTACATGGAGTTTTAGATTTTGTGGCCCTCCGTCTGGGTGGGTATGCAGTCTGGAATTTTGATCTGCTTTTCTTAAAAATATAGAAAATATATTAAAACAGCGTTCGTTTTAATATATAAGCGTAAGACATAACCTACGAGTATCGCGAAGATATGATTTGAACTCCTTTTTCGAGAATTTCTTTCCTGTCACCTCTCCAACATATCCCGTTAATTCTTTCCAGCGTTGTGGTGTTGGTAAGGAATAATTGTAACTGCCCTCACATACGAGAATCGGTTTACCAGAGTTTGAAAAATTCAACTTTTCCTGTTTTTAGGAGTCCATTTTACCGCTTGTAAGGTGACCTTAGAGACTCTCACAGGCCTATTTATGAAGGTATAAGGTCGTACCTTAGGCCTAAGGTAAGACGTTATGACTTCAAGGACCGTCACGTGACTGTTAGTGCATAACGCCGCTACCTTACGCGGGGCGCTAAAACTCCCTATTATAATATGACGGTCCGTATAAAATATATGCTCTTCCTAACCGTATATAATATATGGTCTTCATAACCTCAGGCTGGATTTTTTCATCGTCCCACAATAATAGTTATGGGACATTTGTAAGGAAAGCGCTCGGTTATAATTTGCCTCGGTTGGGAATCAATTCAAACTTTTACTCGGGAGGTGGTGGTGATCTTTCCCCGCTGGCGGTGAGATCCGGTGCCGACCTACCGTTTCTAGCGGGGTTTCCCCAAGCAAGTATCTCCCACCAGCGGGGCACCGCTCCAGCCGGGACAAACTCTAAGCTCCCGACCGGTCTCCCGGCATGTGTGGTAGTGCAGTGCATATTAGTGTAAGTTAGCGTAAGGGGAGAGGATAGGACAAGAAAGAAGTAGGGAAGATCACGCGCGGTGCGTGGCTCGTTTGTTACAGTACTGCTCTAGCATTCGCCTGGAATCTATCGGAGAAACCACGGAAAACTACCATTCAGAGCAATCGGCTGGTAGAATTATCCAGACTGACTGAATTCGACCTAACTGACAAGCTTGTGTCGAAAGTCCTGCCACCGAAGGGACTCGAACCAAAGACCTCCCAGTTAGAGGGACTGCAGTAACATCAGTTGACGCCCTGTGCCATCTCTCCCGGTCTATCAATCGAGGCAAAGGATATGTCAAATGACAAGTCTCGCTCTTATGTTGAAGTGATACGTTTTCGAGGATCCATCTAGAAGATTTTAAGAAATGTCTAAAAATAAAAGTTTTTGAGTTTTTAGTGAATTTATACGAGATTTAGATGACTTACTGTGCACCTACAGGAGTGATCAATAAATTATACGATTCCTCGCGACGAGACCAATCGATTGGCACAATTTTCACTTTCCCGCTACGGAGTGCAGAGAAATGTATGTAATTTTGCGCGAAAGAATGGCGAATTTGCGGCAGAAAACGTTTTATTACATGGCGTTGTAACGACACGTGGTGAAGGTCTCATCCGAAGAGGTCTGTTTCTCTCTCCTCTCTCTTTGGAGACGCCGCTCGCTTTCCCACCCTGCCTAAGCCATCTCACAGAAACGTCTTCTGAGAAGAGCGGCTTGCCCTGCACACTTTCTGTCAACGCAAAGATATCGATTCTTCCCGCTGGCGAAGACAACGCCAACATTATGCTTACGTGGGATTACCATTACGAAGTGGCCACTGCTCGCAGACGATTGATTAGCACAGAATAGCATCATAGCCATGGGTGAAAGAAATAATTACTTCTTGCAGAATGAAAATTGATAGATGGTACATTAGTATTTTCACTGTATACTTGTACGCGCCAGAAGAAGTAATATTTAATGTCTCTGAAATAGTCTACAAAACTTAGTTTTCGATTTGATTAATAAAAATGACGTACTAGTAGGAGACCTGAATGCTCGAACTGAAAATCGACTAAAGACCTTTGTAGACATGGAGAAATTACCCTAAATAAAAATGGCAGACTCCTACGTGATTTTATATTCTTAAATGGATTTTGAATTGAAAATTCATTTTATAAACAGAAATATATTCACAGTACATTTGGACACAAGTGCATTTGGACAGCCTGAGATAGATCTATAATAGATTATTCCATAGACAAATAAAAACTTGAACAAGAGTTCTATGACATCTAAGATATACCAGGGAAACATCGGGTCAGACCATTACTAATGAGATCATCAATTGCATTAAAAACAAAGGGGTTGAAAATCAATGCCAGATGACATAAATGCGAAATATATGGAAATATGGTTTACTTAACAATTCGTCCATCAGAAATCTTATAATTACTGAGCAAAGCAAATTGATTGAACTCTTGTAGACAACACTGTTGTGTACCTGTTAATAAGGTACTAGTAGTATCATAGTTTTTGCTTTCAGAATTTGATAGGATAGGATACGAAAAATTACACAATGTTCTGATTTAAAGTAAAAATAAAAAAAGCAGCAGGTACTATATCACAGAATTAAATACATACCGGAGGACACAAAAACAAACATTTCTAGATATATTATATCTCTACTTGCAACAAAGAAAAATTTCTGGCAGTTGGAAAACCGCTCTAGATGTCCCAATATTGAAAACAAGCTCTACGACAACCTAAGAAATACTAAACGATTAAGAAATATAACTGATTGCAAACTCCTCCAAGAACTAAGTTTTGTGGTTTGAAAACAGTTTTCGCAAGTAATATCCTGCACAGATAATGTGTACTCTCTTAAACAAAAAATAGAAAAGAGGAGAGAATAAATATCGGAACAAATTTTGTATAAGTAGATTTAAGCAGGGAATTTGACAATGTTTTAAGTAACAATCTGTTAAACATTATGGAGAGAAGCAAACTTATTAGGACACGGAATTGAAGATCTTAAAAACATAACGTGGTACACAAATTTACATTAAGAAAGATAAATGAGAAATCCTACACGGAACAATTGAGGAACTCCCGTGGGATAGCACTTAAGGCCAAAATTGTAATTTTACAAGAGAAGCAAAAAAACTGTTTAGAAACCTTGTTTGAAAAAAAATATTAGTTTAAGCATTATTACATTGTACTGAAAACAAATAGATGCTCAATAATATTAACAAATGTTTGAGAAAAATATCCAGAAATATTTCCGTAAATCCCCTTATACTTCTCATCTAGTTTTTTCACCGTAGCGAGTATGTCTCTTCTCTTAGTCTCGTTGATGTCAGGGATCCACTGGATTCAGGGCAGATTTTGAAGTTTAGGAGACTCATTAAGTAATCGGTATTTCAAAAAAACTCTCCATTGCTTTCAATACTATTTCGTTGAATGTATGTCGAGTTAGACGTGCTTCTCGTGGCTAAGCCACCTGGACTTACAATTGATCCCATCTTGAGAATA